AAAAAAAAAAAAAAAAAAGATTTTAGGAAGAACAAGATAAAAATGGTTAACATCAATCTGTAAAACTTTCAAATTCTTCTTTTGGTAAGATTATTTTGAAACCGAAAATTACAAAGATCGTTTCTTTATTCATTGGCCAATACAGATCGCGTTGCATATGTGAAACTACAACTCCTTAGCATCCAAACAACTATATCCAAGAAAAATGTGAATCTGATAAAGTTACTTTCCGATTGATTTTCTAACTCATTAATAGCAGTCTGTCACCAGTCAAAAAAAAGTGCAGTTTTTTAGTAGTATAAAGAAATTTTAAAAGTTAGAGAAAATTTTTGATGAAAATTTGCACATAAACTAAAAAAAATCTTTCTTCTCGCTTATTCACTCTTCTCCTCTTCTTCGCCATCGTCGGCATTATATTGATGCAAAAGATTATTGATGTCCAACTATAATATATATCGTTCAATTTCAAATATGTCTTTAATGCAGAGCCACGGAGGTGAAAATTGCAGTTATACAAAAATAAGATTTTAGAATAAGGCAAAAAAAATTACTTTTTTTCAAATTATTTTTCGAAAAAAAAATATTAACATATTTCTGTATTTACGGTTTCACAGCTAAAGAGCAACGTAAAAATATGCTTAAAAGTTTGGTACAGAAAAAGAAAGAAAAATTAAACTCATATTTTATTACTGCGCAAATCATCTAATGAGGTTTTAAATAGTACAATAAAACAAGGGAAAACAAGGAAATTCCAAGAAAAAGGCTGTTTAAGCGCTTAAATATATCTCATAAATGGAATTTGTTAGTGATAATTGATAATAAAAACAGGTGTAATTTTCAGTAAGTAAAAGATAAAAATTTTTGTTTAGCAAAAAATAAGTTTATAGTATCAGTTGCAGATAATGCAGACAAGAGGTCAATAACAGTGCGTTAACAGGAACACTTACAAATTCAGTAGAAAAAAAAAGGGAAAAAAAGACATTTTTAGTGAAAAACATGCAAAATAAGAGCAATTAGCACCTGTTAAGTGAAAATTAAGCATACCTTTTGGGGTTTAGCGAAAACGTCAACTTTGTTAAAGGTGAATAAAATTAAGAAAACAATATAATGTAGATACTGCATAACTGATAAGAGTTCGTTAAGCGGTTTCGCATTCACCAGGTTGAACGGTGGATTCTGAAGGAAATAAGTTCTTTTTCATCAACGTCTAAACGATCGTTTAAACTATTAAAGGAGCGTACTGAAGTATATACACGTAATGGATTAGTGTTATTGAGAAACTGGAAAATGGCTTTCTTGAAATAAGAGGTCAAAATGAAGGAGCTTGAAGTTCAAGGGTTTTCGCACACTTGTAACACACTCCTCGTTTCAGCTCTAACGGTGCTGCTCAAAACTGATTTGGCTACAAAACTGTGACTGGTTAAAAGTCATCGTCGAAGACTTAACGAGACAACAAAAAAATTTAGCAGTTTTCTTTTCTTTCTGTCGCGACCTCAAAAAAAAAAAATACTTTGATACAGCAGTTTTGCTGCATTCAGATCTGTTTATCGCCATGTCTCTGTTCGTTTGTTGGCAAACAGAAACCCGCTTTAGAATTCAAGTCGAGATGCAGCTGCCAATCTGCCGACAAAATCTCCGAGTTCTTCACACCTCTGCGATGACCTGGTCAATCAGCTAGCTATACATTCCAATGCTTCTGCATGACTATTGAGCAGAAAAAAAAAAAGAGCAATAAAAACAGCTATTTGTAGATCGACAATTAATCAGTTATATAAAGTAGAATTTCAACTGCCAACATTCTGGTTTTTTTGTCTGGAGTTACTGTGCTCAGGAAAAAAAGCCTGTATCGATAAATCAAAAAGATGAACTGCAACAGTTTGCATCTGTGCAGAAGCTTTTGTTCAGCTGCAATACCAATCTGAAATATATAGGTCAACCAGTGGACAAATCAGATTTATCTGTTTGTTTAAAACCCAAAAAAGAAAAAAAAAACGATGATGCAGTTAGGCACAAAAAATTTTCTTAAGTTTTATGCAAATTCAAAATCTTAGTTGTTAAGTAAACAATCTGTAAGCAGTAATGTGGTCTGTTTATTTCGCACTAATTTCATGATAATCTAATAAAACTTTTTTTGTAACTATATCGCCAGTGCTGTTATAAAAAAAGCTTCATCTATAAAGCGTTCAGATATACACATATAAATGTAATAAATTATTCTCAAATAATTTTAAGAGATTAAATGCCGTG